ATATCTACCTTTCTTCAGTTATTCTGATCTCCATGGGCAACACTTCTAAACTGTGACCTTGGTTTCATGTGTCCTTGTGTGTGGGCCACGGATCCCCAGACAAGGCCACCTGTGTCCTGCTGAGCGTAGAGCAGGGACCCTGTTGATATAATGGACTGTGCAGTAAGTCTGCAGTAATGGCCTAGCTATCCCATCACTTGAGGCCATAGTGCTCCAATAGTAAGGAAAGCATTTTTCTACCCTTATTTTCAAAGGGGAATTATTGGCTTAATTATTTTTTTAAGCTTAAAACCTAGTTTAGTTTTATACTTCGTGAGAAGATAAATTACATTCATGCTCAGGCAAGGTATAAAGATTTTTCTGACACAGTTGCGAACACTGCACAAACAGCAACACTAGGTGTTTTATGGAAATTATTCCAAAGTAGTGCTGAACAACTATTCTCTTTGCATGCCATGTGTTTTAACTGTTTTGTGTGTTACACAAAAAACTTCTCCTAGGACTTGTTATGTTGTTTCTCCATATGGCTGATACATTTATCACAGGCCAATCCCATGTATACAGGTGCCACTGCGATCCACGTAATTCTTTACCTTCATTAAAAATATTAATTAAATTTTCTCGATATGATCCCATATGTTTCTGCTCTGCACTGGTTCAACATATGATAATTGTGGAAGCTGTCTTTAGCCAGTAGTGTAAAGTTTTATTTTGCACTGATGAAAACCAGTGGACTTGAGAGAGAGCTGGGGCTTTAGTCCTGGCTAGCCCTGTCCAGTTTTAAATGTTGCCTCTCCTCGGGTCTCGAGTAGGGTTAAATGTAATGGTTTGAAGCGGTTTTTTAGCTGTTTATCATCAGATGTCCTCTTAAAATTATTTTTAACTGCTTAAGCAGTTATTTTGAATTATAGGAAACATTCTCGGGAGGTGAGTTAGTGGGGAGAGGTGACGTGAGGTGAATCAGGAGTTCATGATACAGCATGGTAGCTATTCAGTAACTATCAGAGAGATCACTTCTCCTTTTCCAACGAGAAGCAAATGTTCCTCATTCTTAATTATAGGTAAATGTAACGAGACTCTCTCGGATGTATTGCTTAACTCAGCTTTGTTTATGTGAATAAAATGCAAACTATTACATTTGTATATAAACATTCACTACATGAAGCAAAAAGTGGGTTGATCTTCCATGCAGTATCTATAAAACATGCCTTTATATGGCTGAGGAGTCCTGAAACAATGATTCAGCATTTGAATTCACGCTGAATTTCATTAAATGCTCACTGAACGGCACACTCTTTTCAAACCTGTTTGGAACTGTTGAATAACGCTTGTTGATCAGGGGGGAAAAAAAAAAGTAACGAAAGCATGTAGCAATAAATTATTAATGATTTAAGAAGTTGTTAGGCTGCCAGAGAGGTGAAGCGTACTGGTGGGGTGAGCGAATACCCCGGCTGAAGTGGCGCTGGGAGGCAGCGCATTGCCATCTATGGGCCGTATGGAGAAAGTGTTTGAAGTCTGTGCCCAGCATTTTCTTTTTCCCTACTGTATTAATAGAGTCTGGAAAACAAAAGCCAGGAGAAAGGTCCGTACAAGGTGTAAGAAAGGCTGTTTTCTGTAGTTGATAAGGGGAATTGGATTTAGCTTATTGCGGAGAGCAGGGTTTTTTTCTGTCACACAAAGTTTAATTCCCATTTTCGTGGGATGTTTTGTTTAGATTGGCAAGATTCTCGTACTTTCTTCTGCTGAAATATGATCAGAAATTTATTGTCTTGTAAAATAATGTATTGATGAAGCCATTAGTCCTCTGTATCCATTATATCTTGTTTGGGCTTCAGAAATTGAATTGTTGGTGATATTGACAGACATCTATATTCAGTATTAGTTACTTTTTCTGCAAAAGCATTGCTATTTTGATATAATTTTCTGGGCCTTTAGGCGTACCTGGAAAGTATGCTTAGACATTAATCATTAGAAGTTCAAGGTCATGGTTTGGGAGGAACTTTTTCTCTGTTCTTCCTTTATACAAAAGTGTCTCAAACAACCAGCCACACAAATGAACGGTTTTACGCTGATAGGAATTTACATCGGATTCTTCAGGTGGAGAAGGTTACTCATGATGATAAGGATTCACAGTTAGACCTCAGGCATGCAACAAGGGGATGGACATAAATGTGACTAACAGATGATGTATATGGTGTATATTTATTTGTGGTAGTGTTTTACAGGCAATAGTGACATGTAAATGACTGTACTCTAGAGAATTCTTTTCCCAGGATCTGCTGATCTGCAGTGCTGTGTCATTCTGAAAGGCAAGCAGATGCAAAGGCCCGAGGAAGTTACAGTTTGCAGTAGTTCACACATCAGTATGTAGGAGCTTTCTGGAGGAATGAGAATATGTGATTATCAATATGTTATTGATTCAAATTTCCTGGTTTTCATTCTTCATATCTGTTAGAGTTATAAAGATTATTAGATATGTAAAATTTAATCTCTGTTCAGATTTTAGTCATGGGTTGTCTTGAGAGAGACAGTTTTAGAAACTTCCATGTATTTAATTTTTAACCACAGCTTCTTTCAAACAAGTACATATTAGCTTTTTCTTCTGCTTAGTGCTTCAACAGTCATTTGTATCTTCCTGCATCTTGCAGACTTAGATTCCAGATTATGGGTTTTCATCAGTTTCTGATAAAATGTAATTCTATTCATTTTTATTAAATTGCCAAGACTGAAATGATTGGTTTAGTTGATGAAGTCTAGGAGTTCAGGCAACTGCTTAGAAAATTTAATGTATAACCTGCCTAAGTTATTTTAAGATACTTAGTAAACTTTTATCTTTTCATCTGTCCTTAGCATAAAGTTTTACCAGATTTACTTAGTGAGCAGAATATTTTCTCCAACTGATCTTTCTTTGTGTTTTGTTTTTGCTTTTTTAATTTTTTTCTTTTTTTTTTTTTTTTTATTTGTACACAGGGAATATCTGTAGTGGTATGAATTGACGGAAAAATAATTTTAAAAAAAGTGAACTGTGTTGTAGCACTGTCACATGCTACCACAAACCAAACAAATGACATGTTATCTTTCCAAAAGCATGTAATAATTCCATTCCTTCCTTCTGCATTTCAGGAAATTTTGATTTGGGCATGTCATTTTCAAGGGTTCTCTTGCTCTATAATTGGGGAATTGCAGCATCTGTGAAATACTAATTCATATGTAACGTAATAGACTTATCAGTCTGCTAGCCACCACCTCAAGGGTATTTCAGCAGAGCCAATACAATTGCTTTCAGTTTGCCAGTTTGTTGCTCTGGCTTTCTAGTTGCCAGTGGATTGATAAAAGCTTGATAAATCTGTTCTATTATAATCTCTTTTATAACGTTTTGCACAGTAGAATGATGCATTGCACTACATAGGAACATCACTATTTCATTTTGTGATATTAATCATTTCTTTAATGAAGGCCACTTCATCCCTTAGCTCAGTTTCTGCTGCATGTCTAAATGGGCAACAGTCAAGTTGGATTTCATTTGGTTTCCACATTCTAGGGATGCATTCACTCTGTAAAGGATTTCACAGTTTCTTTGAAGACATTAGAGCCTGAAATTGCTGTTCATTATAAAGACTTTGCAAACTAATTAAAAATAATTAATTATGTAGCGTAGTTTTGAAAAGAGATGTTTTAGCTTTACATAGTCTTGTTTGCGGTTTGCTTTATATTGTTGTGCTTTGATTAGTTGGACAGTTAGGAGAGTTATGTGATAGAAACAAGTTTGCTGGAGAAAAACGGTTTGG